CATTTATTGCGAAACTCCATTAACACTCCCAATATCAATGTTAAAACTTCATCATAACAGCCACAACTCAAAGTATCGGCAAGTAACTATTTGCAAAGCGTGACAAATTATACAAGAACAGATCAAAATCCCATTTTCAAATTTACTACTGGTAAAGAAAAGACATTGCTCCCAATATTAGGTGATTAACAGCTTCAAATTGCTGTACAGGAATTAACAAAGAAAAGCAAAACTTACCAACTTCCAGTCGTCATCAATCACTGGAAAACCAGTTATTCTGTTTTCGACCAGCATTTCCAGAGCTAATCCAAAGAAGACAACAAATTAGAGAAACAAAAGAATGTCTCTCAAGATAATCAAGCAAAAAACAAAATAAAAAAAAAAAACCCCACAAATAATGATACAATATTAAAGAAAAGCATTAGGATACCTTCATCCAATGTTGTGGTGAACTTGATGCAAATTTTCTTTCTACGTCATAAAATCTCCCACCTTATAAACTCCATTCGTTGACTGTCCAAAAGATCGGCAAATTCATTGCAAAAACAGAAAATGAAAAACAAAAATAAACCCTAAGTAGTAAAAAACGACGGAATTTACTGGATAAACAGCGTTGGCAACTAGCCGGGGGCCGTGGCGACCACACCGGGCCTGGAAGGGCCCGAAATTCGTTTGGGCGCCCAAAGAAAGCTGGTGATAATGTCTTTTCCGGTCGGGCCGGGTTGGTAAGCGGTATTGAATCTGGCTTCGGGGTTGGGCCGAGAATGAGGTATGGTGGAGGAGATGAAGCTCCAGCTTCGAAAGTGAAGAAATTTGGGTGAACTTTTGCAAGACCGGGTTGGGTGGTGGCCGAGCGGTGGTGGGCGGCGGAGTTATAGGCGGGGCTCCGACGAGACTCCGATGCCTTTAGTTGGGGAGTAAAGGGAAATTGGCTGACTGGCTTTGGATTGGTAAAATTTTTTTTCTTGGTTCCTTCGATTTTTTATGAAAAACTTATGTAAACTTATTATCGATTCGATTAATCTATATTTTTTTGGATTGGTAAAAAAAATTTTCTTGGTTCCTTCGATTTTTTATGAAAAACTTATGTAAACTTATTATGTAAAATTTCGATTCGATTGATCTATATTTTTTATGAAGAACCGAATCGGCCAATTTCGATCCGGTTCCTCCGGATCTTTGGTTAACCGAATGCAAGGAAAAAACTGATATTGACCGGTTCTTGTTGTAGGAACCGGTCTCTGTAATCATAACTCAGAACATAAATAATCAAATAATGTCATCTAAAACAAGTCTATAACAAGTTTAAAACCAACCTTTTTGTTTTTATCTCACTTATGTTATTTGTCTCACTTAGTGTGCTAGGGCTCTCATTGATATTTGGTGGCTATAAAAAATAGCTGAAGAAACGGGGTTGACAGGTGCGGTCCCACGGACATGAAGCACACCAAAAGCGGGGAAAAACTCATATGAAACCCAAGTGGGGTTCCATTCCAAAACTAATTAGTGGAAGGAGGAGTAGCCCATTAAACTTATAAAGTGGTCTATTTTCCATGTATGAACAATGTGAGACAACTCACAAGTGATATTCTAACTTGTAAAACCTTAGCATTATGCAGTATTGCCACACATTTTCCTCCATTTTTGCTTCATAAAGATCCTAACTTCAAATCACATTTCTCTTATTTTATATTAAATTAATTTTAATTATTATATTTTATATATTATATTAATACAAACCCAAAGTGTTACTTAAACTTAATATAATCAACTTTTAACTTAATCAATTTTTAAAAATTAATTTTAATTATCCAACAAATTCAAAATAACTTCTCTCTAATCAACTTCTATAACTTCCTCTCGCCCATTTTCTCTGAAACAGTAAACCCTACTCATCCTCGCCGGTTCTCTTTGAAGTCGTCCGCCTTCCTCGGCGGCATCGGGCTTAGCCGGCGGTTGCTGGCCCTCAATTGCTTGGTTCTCGCCCCTTTTTCTCTGCTCCGTCGCCCGATTCCATGACGAGGGACCTCGTCTGTTGCGCAAGATCCCGTCTTTCCAGCGTCGATCTGTTGATTCAGATGGGGTGTTTCTCGTTTGTGAGGTGGTGGAGCCGTTGTGCGGTTTCGGGGCGGGACACGACTCATTTGCACGGTGACTTGTTCACCGGGCGACAGGGGCGGTGATGATACTCACGACCTTTCTTCCTTGTACTCGTTTTCCTTGTCGATCGGGGTCGTCGCGACAATTCTTCTTCCAATGATGCTGGTCGGGGTGTTGACGCGGTGGGGTGGTGGTCGTTGGGTACCTTGCAGGCGATTTCGGGCCGGGCCCGAGGTCATGACATTCTTTTGGCCGTTTGGTGCAATTGGGTGCTGTGGTTGAGGTGTGGGTTGGCCTGCTGCGGTTCCAGGGTTGGGGTTTCATCTCCGTTAGGCACCAGAGGGGTTTAGGCAGTTTCGGGGTCGGTGTTCCTGGCCACGGGATCCGTGGTCGACTTGTTTCCGCTAGTTTGGTTCGGTGTTACTGCTTAGGAAGGGCTCGTTTAGTTTAGTTTGTGTTATTTCGTTTTGTTTCGTGTGATTGTGTTTTGTCCTCTTTATTTTCTGGTCTCTTTTGTAGGATTGTGGTTTTGGTTTGGGCCGTTTGACCTCAGTATCTGAGCGGGAGCACGCTTATTATCCTGTTGGGATCTGCCCCCGTCTCTATTCTCCTGGTGGGAGCCTTGTAGTTTTTCTTAGTGTTTGTCGTGTGTTTTTGTATTGTGCTTTTGTTTTTTGGTTTCTAGCGTTGCTAGTATCGGGCTTCTAGGCGGTCATGAGACCTGTCCTCCCATTTTATTCTCCCGTTCGGAGCTTTGTACTGTTATTCGCACTTTGTGCGTTTTTTATTTATAATAGTTACTATGTCGTTCCGGGAAAAAAAAAAAAACTTCTCTCTAATCACTATTTAGTTTAACGAGTTGCGAATGCTGCAGGACTTTTTTTTGGAGAATAGTACTCATCAATGACGATTTAGATGAGGTCCAGGGGAGGCCATGGACCCCCCTGATTTTTTTTCAAAAAATCATTACATATATACATAAAAAGATATAGATAAAAATGCAAAAAAAAAAATCTATAATATATAAAAAATTAAAAAATAGTTTGTATGCTATTTTAATTTAAATTAATAATATTATATATTTGTTGGAAAATACCCTAACAATCTTATATTTTACATTTTTAGACAATTTTTTTAAAATATTTATAATCTTTCAGCCTCTTAATTATAAGTCAATTTAGTGATTTATAAAAACGAGTAACTGATTGGATTGTTAGATTTTTTCTATCTAGATTTTAACTTTTTTTGTGTAATCACATATTTTTAGATTTGTTTTTTCTTTAAAAAATGGTCATTTGATAAACACACATCAACAAAAATGTTATGCAATGTGCTGTAAATGTTCAATTTTCAAGCATAAAACTTATTTTTCATAAATGATAAATGTTGAACTTAAATTATAAATACATAAAATTTTATTTTATTTTATTTTCTTTTGAGGGTGATATCGATTATAAGTTTGTAAAAACTTGATGGTATACATATCAATATTTAACATTTTTATATTAAATTAACGTTTCGACTTAAACTACAAACTCGTTATTTAACATTTAAAATTGGACCCCTCAGTAAAATTGATAGATCCGTCACTGTTACTCATCCACTGGTTGCATTTTCTTTAAAATTCTATAGATTTCTTTGCTTTTAACGGACAAATAACATTATCTCGTGGGCAGAGCATTGAATTTAAAATGTAGTGATGAGGGGTGCTGAACTCCCCCAGCCACAGCTATTTTTATTTTGGATATGGCAAGTGGTTTGCACTGCGAAAGAAAAAACATCCACCAATATCACTTGCATGGTCATCAACACACTTCTTTTTAATTGTACATATTTTACTAGTTCAGGAGACGTGGCTAAATTCCCTCCATCGACTTGGGTACTTTAGTACACGACTCACCACATTTCCTCCACTTCTATGTACAAGACTTATTTTAAAAGCTTAATTGCCGGAAAAAGCACGATCTTACAACTTTTTACAGTTTTAACTAAATTTTTGGAATTTAATACGAAAAACCTAACCTTGTCCAATGTTTGCAACTCGAACCCAAAATGAAACGGCCGTCTCATTTTTGCCATCGTGTCCGTTAGCTTTACCTACGTGGCCAAACGTGCTGTTGATGTGATAAACCACTAAAAACCAGATAAATACACGCATTTTCCCCTAATGACCGATTGTTTCCCATTTTCACGACTTTCAGATTTTCTTTAGTGACCGATTGTTTCCCATTTTCACAACTTTCAGACTTCGAAAATTTTTTTCTCTCTTTGAAAACATTGTGGTCCCATTGTCGAAGCACACATTCTTGTCGTCGAAACGCACAAATTGCGGTCCCATTGAAGCGATTATGACCGTCAGGTATGCTTATCCTTCATTGTTTTAATTTGTTGTCGAAATTTTGAAATTCAAAGTCGTCGTTCGAATTCGAAATTTGCTGGGAACATTTTATTTGTTTGTGAATTTTTAATCCAGTGTTAATTTTATATTAAGTAGTGATCCATTTGTCAAAGAATGAAAATCTGTTTGACAATTTAGGATTTCTCTTCAAATTAGCGTTATATTTTATATATTAGGGTTTATCAAGATTAGGGCTTCGAACAATTTCGAATTGGTTACAGTTTATTTATTGTACATTCATTTTGAAATTAGGGTTTCGAACAATTTCGAATTGCTTACAGTTTTTTGTTATTGCAAATGCATATTTAAATTAGGGTTATGACAGAATTAGGGTTATGTTAGAATTGGGGCTAATTATAAAATTGCTATTGATGTTTTTTTCTATGTTTAATTAATTGCAGAGACAAATTTGCATTGATTGTTAATATTGGAGGTCATTTTGTGAACTGTGGACCTGTTGTAGTGTATATATGTGGTAGTTTAAAGAGTATTTATGGGTTAGATGCTGATAGATCTGGCTACTTTGACCTACAAGAAGAAATTAAGAAGTTGGGAGTTAACAAGTATTGTGTATAGAATACCTGATGCTGGTGTTGGAGCTGATAGTTTGAGAGATGTAACTGATGATAAAGGGGTTATGGAGATTATTAGTTGTGGTAAGAATAAGAAAACTATAGTTCAGATTTATGTGGTTGGTGGTGACATTAATGATGGAGAAGAAGATGAGAATGTTGAGGCATCATTCCAGACAAAATCTTCTAGCCAGCAAGATACTGATGATGGGGAAGAGGTGAATGGTTTGAGTCAGGCTGAGGCATCATTTCACACACAAGCTATCCAACAAGATATTGATGATAGAGAAGAGGTGAATGGTTTGAGTCAGGCTGAGGCATCCATTGAGAAAGAGCCTGCAGACCAGTTGGAGGATATTAATGATATTATTGACAACTTCACTTCTGTTGAACATGGTGAAGGTGATGCAGAAACTAATAGTGCATGTGCTGGGTTGGGGTCACAAGAGTCATCTGATGATGAAGATTATTTTCCAACTCGGGTGAGTTCATCAGATGATGACATGTCTGATGATCATCTTTCTGATGATGATGAATATGTTCAGGCAAGAAAGAACTTAAAGGAGTTTAGGAAAAAAGTTCAAGATTGGGATGATGATGCAGGCTATACACATCCAATGGCCACAGCTGAGATAGACTTTGAAGAGGATGAATTGTTACATAATACACTAATCTCTGATGAGTCAGATAGTGACAGAGAAATGGATTTGGAAGGGAATTTTGTTAAGAAGAGGACAAGGTTATTGTATGATCCCAAGTGTGATCATAATTCACTTGAGTTTCAGCTTGGCATGAGGTTTGAAACCATTGATCAGTGCAAGAGAGCCATGAGAAGGGTGGCAATTGTGCAAGGTAGAGATATTCAGAATATGAGGTGTAACAAAAGGCAGATGGAAGCTAGATGTCAAGATGGCTGCCCTTGGAGACTTTATGCCAGTATGATTGAAAGAGAAGGTAGTGTGGCTATAAAACAACTGCATAAAGATCATGTCTGTCATAGGAATGTGCACACTAGACAACTCACTGCTCAGTGGATTGCTGAAGAGTTTGGTGAAAAACTCAAAAGGAATCCAAACATGACAGTTGCACAATTGGAAGAAGCAATTTCTGAAAAGTTTGCAGTTGTACCTACAAAGTGGAAGCTTTATAGAGCAAAGTGGAAAGCACTTGAAATGCTCAGAGGTTCTGTCATAGAACATTACTCCTTTCTGAGAAGTTATATGGCTGAGTTGATGAGGGTGGATAGAGAGGGCAGGTTTGAGTTCTTACTTGGGGAAAATACCACATTAAGAGGCTTTTATGTGGGTTTTAGTGCTCTAAGAAAGGGATTCATCAATGGCTGCAGACCCATCCTTGGATTTGATGGATGTTTTTTGAAAACTTTCTTAGGAGGAGCCTTGTTATGTGCCATTGCCAAAGATGGTAACAATCAATTTATCCAGTGGCCTGGGCTGTGGTTGAGGCTGAAAATGAAGAGTGTTGGAAGTGGTTTCTCTCAATTTTGTTTGCAGAAGTGGGTATAAGGGATGGCTTAGGATATACTTTCATTTCAGACCAACAAAAGGTTAATATTCTGTGCAATTTTGAGTTTTTGTTCTTAATTTCAAACATTAGCATGTTATAAATAATTTTTTGTTTGTAGGATTTGTTGAATGCTCTGAGGGACTTGGCCCCAAATGCTGAGCACAGAAATTGTGCTCGACATGTCTAATGAACTGGAAGAAGCAATTCAAGGGGCAAACTTTGAAAAATTTGTTCTGGAGAATTGTTCTAAGCACTCACCTTGGAGACTACAACATTGCTTTGGAGGACTTGAAGGCAAACTGCAAAGAAGCTTATGAAGAATTTATCAAGAAAGATCCTTCAAAGTTTTGTAAGGCTTTTGTCTCTTCTCTTCCTAGGTGTGATATGATAGAAAATAATGTTAGTGAGACTTTCAATGGGTTTATAGTTAAGGGAAGGGGAAGCCACATCATTGAGATGCTTGAATTTGTAAGGACTGAACTAATGAATAGACAACATGGGAAATTGATGGAGTTGAGTGGACATCCTGACATTTGTCCTAGAATAAGATCAAAGGTAGAAGAGAACAAATATTTGTCAAGAGTGTGTGTCACAAATCCTGCAGTTGGTGATAGGTTTCAGGTTGCTTTAGAAGATGATCAGTTTGTGGTGGATTTGAGGAATAATACATGTACTTGTAGACAATGGGATATAACAGGGATACCTTGTGTGCATGCTTGCTCAGCAATACACTTTCAGCATAAAGATCCTGCAGACTTTGTGTCTGAGTATTTCTATACTGAGAGGTACTTGAGTATGTATAGCACCTCATTGGAGCCCATAAATGAAAAAAAATAAAAATGTGGCCAGCTGCAGAAGGTTATCCAATCTTACCCCCTCCTTTCAAGAAGATGCCTGGAAGACCTAAGTAAAAAAGAAGAAGGGCTCCTGAGGAAGAAGCCAGAAGTGTAGGCAAGTTGAGAAGGTTTGGGCTGATTATGACATGTCAAAGGTGTTTGCAAAAGGGGCATAACAAGAAATCATGCACCCTGCCTGAAGTTGAGAAACCTGCTAAGGTTTAAATTTCTATTCATTCATAGTACTAAGATTTTGTTATTTATTTCTTTACATTCTTTAATCATTGTCATTTTTCTTTGTACAGAAGCCAAAGGGAAGGCCCAGAAAGCATACTGCACCCCACAATGTGGTTTAAATTTCTATTCATTCATAGTACTAATTTTTAGTTATTTATTTCTTTATATTATTTAATCATGGTAATTTTCTTTGTACAAAACCCAAGAGGAAGGCCCAGACAGCATACTGCACCCCACACTGTGGTTCAACCACCCCAAACTGAGACCATGACAAGCCCACCAGTTGAGAGGCTGACAAGACCACCAGTTCAGAGGATGACAACCCGGTCTGTTGAGAAGATAAATAATCTGCCGGTTAGGAGGTGCAGTCAACGCTCATCAGTCATACAAAAAGAAAGAGCCTTGGTAGTACTTTTATATGGAAATTTTCTGAATTGGTACCAATACTAGACAACTCAATTATTTTGTTCATTTGTTTGGCAGACAAGGAAAGGTTTTGGTATCTTGCAATCTGAGGAAACTAGTAATGTTTACATGAAGGTATGGTTTTTTTTATAAGAATTCACTATTTCTGAAATATAATATAATATAATATAATATATTTATTGACTAATATATGGGGTAATTATTGTATAATATAATGCAGTTGTCATCTACAAAAAAGATTCATGTGATTTCAAACACTGCTAGAGAAACAGGCCAAAGCAGTGACACAACCAGAGGGCAAAGCAGTGGGTCAACCACTGGTAGAGGAAGAGGGAAGAGGAGTGGGTCTACCACTGCTAGAGGAAGAGGAAGAGGGCAAAGTAGTGGGTCTACCACTGCTAGAGGAAGAGGAAGAGGGCAAAGTACAGGGGACTTCATATGCACTTAAGAGAGTGAGGCTGGAAATTAAGATGTAGTATTGTTGAACTGATGTGGTACCATTAAACTGATTTTGCTATTTTTGGGGTGTGTTGATTTTGTGTGTGGAGACTCAGTAGTTTGAACTGATCTTTTGGATGTGTTTTTGAGTTTTGTGGGATCTGGATGTGTTATGGGATATTTATATGTGTTGTTATGTGAAAATCACTTAAATGAAGTGTTTTGTTCTTTGAATGTGCTCTGTTTATTGAAAAGGAAGTGTTCTTTGGAATTCATGTGATATTGTGCCATGCCAATTCTTGTAACATAAATATGCATAGGCTTTCAATTCTTGTAATAATAATATGCACAAGAACAGAAATAAGATAATTCTTGTAATAATAATACATTCATGCAAAAAGTTTTCAATTCCATTACATATATCAACCAAACATAATTCTACCAAAACACAATCACAATAAGAACCATAACAACAACAATCACAATCACAACAAGATCATAGCCACTTTTACCAAACACATCAGTTCATCTTCAGCTAATGGACATAGCCATTTCTACCGAACACCATCACAACAACCATAACAACAACAATCAAACCAATCATCAATACATACATTTTCCTTTCAAGGTTTTTCACTTGAGTTAAGGTCTTCTCAAGAACCAAAAGTACTTCAGCATTCTTGTGACCATCAACCTCAAGTCCTGTCACTTTGTTTTCAAGAACCAAAAGTACTTCAGCATTCTTGTTACCATCAACCTCAAGCCCTGTCACTTTGTTTTCAAGCTCCTCAAGTGAAGACAAGCTTACTTCTTTCACACTCGACCTATCATTGTGTTGTTTTTCCATGGCCCGTAACTTTTCTTCTAAAGCCTTTTTTTGAGCCTTCAATCTGATGAAGCATGTCCTTTGGAACTCAGGAAATGCGGGATCAATCCAATCAAACAAACCACAATCTTTTACCTGTTCCAAAAAGTTTGGTTAAAAACCATATGTGTATCCACCCATTCTGAACAAAATTGCCGTAAAATTGCAGAACAAAGTACAATAATAAATTACCTTTCTATTATGGTTCAATGGATGTTGATATTTGTACGACTAAATTAGGATGAAGCTACTGGATTTTGGAGAAGAACATGATAGGGTGATGAAGCTTCTGGATTTTGGGAAAAAATCTTCAAAATTAGGGTTTGATTTTGAGGAAGAACACGAGGTCGGGTTTGATTTGGGGGAAAATGCGTGTACTTATACTGGTTTTTAGTGGTTTACCACGTCAGCAGCACGTTTGGCCACATAGGTAAAGCTAACGGACACGGTGGCAAAAATGAGACGGCCGTTTCATTTTGGGTTCGGGTTGGAAACATTAGACAAGGTTAGGTTTTTCGTGCTAAATTCCAAAAGTTTGGTTAAAACTGCAAAAAGTTGTAAGGTCGTGTTTTTTCCGGCAATTAGGCCTATTTTTAAAGATAAACACTTTATTTCCTTACGGGATTTTGTGTAGAGCTATTAAATGAGATGGTCAAATATGCTTTGTATCACACTTTTTGGTAATGTACTTAGGGTGTGATTGGTTGGGTGATAAGGAGTGATATCACACTATTTATTATAGTATACACGTGTTTATTGCGTTTGGTTGTAAAGTCTTGGCCTTGAAAAATAGGCATGGCCCGGTCCATTATCCCTCAATTTACTTATAATGTATCCGGCCAAATTGGTGGGATGCCATATACTGTAATCAATTACAAACTGTGAGTTCCTAAAATGTCCCTATTCCTTTTTCACGTATTTTTCTTTTCATTTCGATGTTTTTCATTCCTCATCTTCTTTTCTTCCCAAATCGCAGATTAAGACCCCATTTTTTTTCTCCAAGAATCCCTCCTCCTCTTCTTTTCTTCTTCCTTCCCAAATCGCATATCAAAACCCCCAAATTTTTTCTCCAAAATTTCTCCAATAATTCCTCTCCCTCTCTCTCTTTTCTTCTTTTCTTTCCCCCAATTTTCATCTCTAAACTCTCACATCACATAATTCCCAAATTTATGAGCAGTAGACCCAAATTTCACGAAGCCCTGTTCTACCTACCTGTCCCCGACGACTTCTGACGGTAGCATCAGTACGACGACAGCGGCAGACTGCTGAAAGGTTTCTGCTCATGATATAATAAAAGTTCATGTAAAAATAACAATTGTTAAATCTTTTATGTAGGCTACTAAACCTAAAAAAAAAAAAATTTAAATCTATTTATTAAGCTGCTAATTTTGGGTGAAATATGAAATTGGTTTTGTTTTATATGAAAGAAATCGAAGAGAGGACCGCCGAACTAAGGGTTGTTTCGACTACTCCAACTGAAATTTCTCCGATCTGCGATTTCATGGACTTGGCGATGAAGATGTGAAAGCCGTGGGTTGAGAACTTGAGATGGTGATGGTGTGTCTGTATAATGTGAGGGGTATGTCGGGGAAAGAAAGGAGAAAAAATAAAATTGGATGGATATGAACTTGTAACCAAACATATTAATAAATTAATAGGCTTGATATCAAAAGAAAACCAAACAACTTAATGGACCATATTAACTTTGATGAATAAAGCTAATACATGACGAAGGAAATAATCAAGCCCAATCAATAACCCCAACCAATCACACCCTTAATGTACTAACTAGTAGAACGACATTTTTGTATATAATTAAGATATTCTACATCAGTTTCACTGCAACCAATGAGAAAGTAGACCAAGGCTACTTATGATTAGAGCTGTCTAAACGGGCTTGTGGCTACCGCGGGCTGGTGCGTTTAGGCCCTCCTTGGCGGGCCTAGAAAAATTAGGCCCAACCCGCCTTTTTTGCGGGGCGGTCCACGGGCTGCTTTGACAGCTCTACATATTGTACATTGCTATCCATACAATGAATGTAATAAAAGGATCTTTTACATCTAGTTAAAAGAAGTTAATTATTGTCTATATCATAATACTAGGGCAAACAATTTTTTTTTATAGAACTTGTGTTAGACAGGCTTAATCGTCAAACAAACGGTTATTTTTTTAGTAAATATATGTACTTTCTTACTCAAGTGATGTTTTAAAAAACAATACAAATTAAAATATGACTTCCACATTGTAAATATGCAGTTTTATTCCAATAAACATGCAAGTTGATTTGGTTAAACATTATGCTGTTTCATACAATAATTTGTTAAAGATCTTTTTGAGGCTTAACATTCAAAATTAAATAATGTCCAAAAATTTACACAACGAATATTTAATGCGATATGGTAATCAACAAAGGCCACAAAAACTTGGATCCCATGAGAGTTTCATCTCTATTTACTTTTTTTTTTTCAAAACGATAGAAATAATATTAAACAACGTATGAACAAAGTTCGTACAATGGATACAAACCCGAATGAACCACCTCAAATTAAGCTGAAACAAGGAGGACACACCTAACAGGCAGTGTTCTAGAAGTCGCTAGGCGCCCGCTAGGCGCTCGACCAGCGCCTAGCGCCTAGAGTGCCTAGTCGGGGCCTAGGCGGGGCCTAGAAATTATAATAAATATATTGTTTTTTTGTTTATTTTCAAAATTTCACTCATGAAATTACAACTTATAATTAATAAATTCATACACTTAAGTCCTAATAATATTATTAATAATTTAATACAATATTATAATGAAAACATGATAGCAATTAACAACTCACACGACCACAAGATTGTATTTACTGTAATTTCAAAACGAACTCCAAAGTCAAAATAAGTACATAACCACTACTACGTAGATAAGAACAATCTTATTATGTTTAAACTTTTAAGTCTTTATTTAATGAATAAAATATTTAATTTATAATATTTGTAGATATGATTAAAGTATGAAAGAATGAGTCACCCCCTGTAGTCAGCTTTCATTCGAAGACCGCCACGAGAAACCAATTATTGTTAAGTCTTTAACTCTTACACTCAATGCTCAATTTTCTCAAATAAACAAATAAATAGCATAATAAGAGTCTTTAACATCAGTTTCAGAATCTACAGCACTGGCGGAAGTGGGCCGACCTTCGACAGAGATAGGAGTTCCGGCGCAAGCTGATTGAAACTGAAGGCCGATGGACGGGAGTATGGTCGACGAGGGTTATTGTTTTCACTTTGTTCTGCTTCTGTAAGTTCTTTGTGATTTGTGAATTTGTTGCCTCTTTTCTAATTTTTTAAACTCAGCCCGTTTATTTTTTTTTTTTTAGAGANCCGTTTATTAATAAAAAAAAAATTGTCATGGGCGCCGAGAACCCGCCTCAGCCGCCGAGAGCCCGCCTCAGCCGCCTAGTCCCACCGAAACCGCGTAGGCGTAGCCGCCGTGACCGCCGAGGCCGCCTAGCTCTGCCTAAGCCCGCCTAGCTCCACCTAGGCCCGCCCGCCCGATATTTATGGCCGATTTTAGCAAATCGTGGGGGCTCACCTCCGCCTAGCGCCTAGGCCGCCGCCTAGAGCGATTTTTAGAACAATGCTAACAGGTGGCCTAAAATAACAAACAACCACTAGTCAAAACTACAAATAGCAGGAATTCTTAGCTAGAATCACAACAAACCACACAAAGCACCAAAGAAACAACCCAAACAACAAGTACAAACTTATACTGAAAAGAAAGACACAACCAAAACTAGCCTACACTAAACAGTCCCACCCTTCACCTGCTGAAATTTCTGCCACTCCTTAAGAGCCTCCTTGAACAAGATCTGCTCTGGCATCCACATTCCTTTACACAACCACAAGTTGCGGGTTTTCCACAACCACCAAAGTATATAAGTGGTCAATTGAATCTTATCCTTAGAGATTCTTGATCCATTTAGAGCACAAATTTGCCACCACCAGTTCTTGAAGTTGCATTCATCCCCTGAGATGCCATCCCAATTGATTGGGGCTATCCTCCAGAACTTCTTTGCTCTCTGGAATCTGAACAACATGTGCTCAATTGATTCTTCCTCCTCTCCACAACTTTACGCAATACCCCAATCTCCATGCCTCTTTCCTTCAAGTTAAAAGATGACTAGCAAGATACCACAAAAAACATTTCCAGATGAAGTTCTTTATTTTACCTTTAATCCTCAATTTCTACCTCCTCAGTCTGGAATGTTTTTCCTTTACTGTTGTTGAGCTACCTTCAGCTACATCCATCCTTTGCACTTTATCTTCAATAAGGTTGGCGTAAGTAGAGGATACCGAGAAATTACCTTTCCTTTCCAGCCTTCAACTCCATTCATCCTCTTTGTCAAGGTATATTGAATCAATCTGCATAATGGCTATGCAAACATCTACATTAAACAACTGAGCTCAGAGACTCTCATTCCAGAATCTTCCACTGTCTGTCAACAATTCCCTGACCTAAATTGCTTCAGTTCTGTTTCCCAACAACATACTTAGTTTCAGCTAACCTATAAGGATCCTTTATCTTTGTTTTGCAGCCATTTCCAATTATGATTTTGACTCCAGCCTCAAAAATCCGCTTTGTATCCATCCAACAATTCCACCACCAAGAATTATTTTGTTCTTTTGGAGGTTTCAAAGAAAGAGCAATTAGGAAGTATTTGCCTTTCAGAATTTTCCTTACCAGAAGATCTGGTTGAGTATTAAGTCTCCAAAGTTGCTTGGAAATTAGAGCCCCATTGAAAAAATAGGCAAGTTGCAAATTAGCTTGAACTATTTATGAAAAAAAGAAACTTAGATCCACCAGGAAGAATGTACTTTTGGACAGTGCCTTATTGTTTATGAATAAAGGTGAAGATTGGAGTTTAGGAAAACTGGGACCTCATATATATAGCCTTCTTTTTTTTTCCCCAAATTGGAAAACATAAATAACATTAAACTCAACAAGAGTACGTTTGGTAACGCAAAACACTCTGACCGGCTGGAATCGATCCTTCTCCTTCTTCCTCACTGATAGAACGCCGCGTACCTGCAAAGAACTCTCACACCGGGGGGTTTTCCGGTGAAGAGCCTCTGATGCTTAAGTCAGTGTTTGTTCTACTCAAATCTCAAGAGTAAAAGAATGGATCAATCCTTTGTAACAAGAAAGGCTCACCCCCTTTATATAGGGGTGAGATACCTGCTCTAGGAACTGCCCGGATTTGATGAGCTGTCTGCCCAAGGTTGCTTGGATCTGCCCGTCCGTACACACACAGTGTGTGTGTGTGTCAGAGGTGGTTATCGCCACTACCGCTATGCACCAATGTATTTTCGCTACGTGTCCTCTGCACATGGGGTAATTATTTCTTTGAATATTCCTTGCAAATTCCCTCGGAGGCTCACGCGCTCTCCCACGTTTAGGTCACGCACCCGATTGCTCTTCACCCGCGGGGTGGTCGATCCGATGGTCTTTTGCTCGATAGGTCGATCTTCGACTAGATCTTCCGCAATATTCGACCACTGCCCTTTAGCCTAATACTGACCAGCGTGGCTTCCCAGGCATTAGATTCGAGTGACCGGCCTAGTGAACCGGTATATTCCTATAAGTATATAATATCTCATATCAACGTTTGAATGATCAAATGATCATAAAGTCACCAACTCCTAACACAAGAGAGAGAGTCGAGACTACTAGGGAATAGAACATTACATCCCCTCTGCAGTCTGCAAGACTAAAGACTTACAATTCAAAAAAGGTTCCTCACACGAAATAAAAGTACAATAACCAAAAGAAACAACTAGAGAATAAATATCAACAACAATGGCCCTCGAATTTTCACATTGTGCTCGCGAATCCACACCTTGTGGCGTCATCCACTGTTCCACATACAAACGACGATCTCAAATTGAATCGGCCTCCTCTATCCACAACATTTGTCAACAAGATGTGTCAGAACAGAGCTGCGTCCTAGTGAAACTTTTTGACAGTGGAGCCCACTACTCCTAAGCTTTCATTTTATCCCACTTTCAACTTCCTTTCCTTGGAAATTCTTGACCCAACTATCTTATCCACGCCATTTTCCTTCTGACCAATAACCACACGAGTTGCAGCTAGCCAATTCACCATCACTATATAAGACCAATAAATCGACCCAAGCCCATCAACATTCTCCACCTCATCAAATTTCTCAGCATCATAACCCACCACAAATGCGTGATTCAAGAGCATCTCAGCCGACAACCTAAACTCTGGCTTCTGCACAAAACACGCCTTCATAAAATCTCGGCCTTCCCCGACGACCCGGTAGGGACCCTAGGCACCTCGCGGCCATCTCCGACCCTGGCAATAATCTCCCTGGTGCTCATATCTTCCTCCGACCCTAAAGGCTCCTCCTTGAAAATCGATGAACCATCGTCGAGACCACCCATGTCGCCGGTAAGACGCTCCTCTACCTCTTCCGGTCCTTCATCGAACACCGGTGGACTGTTATAGAAACCGTTCGCGTCGGGGTCACTGAATTCCTCTATGAACAATACACGTGAACCCACGACATGTAGAACGAAACTCAACTCACCGATCGCAGCTTCAGCCTACGTCGAGGAAGTAAAAGACGAGCCCACCTTAAAGCCGACTCCTAATGCGACCCGCCAAAACCCTCAGTCTCACGACAAGATTCACGACGTTGCGACTCTGCAAAATCCATGTAACCTGGGGCCAAACGCCGCCACTTGCAAAGGCCATCTTCGTCGAAGCATTTAACTTCATGGCGTCCCTAGCGGTCGCTAAAGGGATTGACGTTCGAAATGGTGTCCTCGCCCCCTTCGTCGCTGGGCAGCGGTGGTGGCGAAGGTCGGCGGGGCGCCCCGTCTAGGTGACGTCCGCCGCGAAATCCCCCACGCACACCCTGGTCGTCGGCGTCACGGTATGTATGCGCACTCTCCACCATATGGTACATATAGTTACATATATTTCCCTGACAGGTCTGTAAATCCTTCGTCCATCTACTGCAAACTGTTCTGCATCTTTTGAAACCTATTGTTGATGGCGACGACACGCTGGTCGTTGCATCTTGTCGTCGCGGCAGCATCGTGAATCGTATTGACTTCTGATACCAACTGAGAATGAGATCTCAATCTCAAACATGATAAAACCAATCAAGTCTTATTTCATTCAAAAATCAACTATTGAATAACAAAGAAGAGCGGTCTATAAATAAGACACCTAAAACCCTTAAATATATCTTGTCCACCAAATCACTAAATATTAATAATAATAATAATAATAATAATAATAATAATAATAATAATAATAATAATTCTTAAACTATGTGCATCATATTTTTTTCCCATATGAGGAGAGAGAGATTTGTTTAACTTGTCGCTTTTGAAGTTACACCACAAAACTATTAATAAAAACAAATTTTAATATAATTAAGAGAAACAAATTTAAAAATTAAAAATTTTTACCTATACATTTTTTCGTACAAATATTAATAAAATAAGAGAAATAAATAATTGACATGTAAATTATTTTCCATAAAATCATGATATTATTATCTATAGTTTCTTACATAAATGTATGCAGATAGTTTATATACTTTACAAAATATTAAAGATAGGAAGAAAAACAATGTCCTTCTAGGTAATGTTTTTAAATCCGGTCCGCTAATCCAGGCCTGGCCTCCAGATAACTTGTCACTGGTTAAATTGTCGGGACATCGGCTCATAGAGTCAACTAGTGCATGGCCCGTGCGATGCACAGGAAACCAATATTTTGATTGTATTATAAATTAAATAAATAAATAACATTAATCATGATTTACCCATTATTTTTAAATTAAACCGAGTTGGACACAGTCTGACCGGATGGACCGAGAACCGGTTTATAACCAGTCTAGTGCTCTTGAATAAAATATTTGCTATCGAATTTTTCAACACCAGTCTGTTGTACTGGTAGGATCGATACGATTTTCTAAACAAATTTTGTTACATTAAAAATTATTTTAAATAAAATTACATATTTAAATAAAATAGAGAATTATAACTTGTTTATCATATAGTTTAAATATTTGAATTTATAAATTTTTTAGATATTTAAGTAACACTTTTTATTTAAATTAATTACAAAAGTACTATATATATATATAAGTATTATGTATTAAAATCTAAACAACCACAAATGATTTAATAAAATAACTTGATCGTTTCGATGACGGTCCGGTTCTGAAAATTTTAATTTACCGTACATTAATAAAAAAAATATAATAAAATAATTATTTCGTTCACATAAATAATAATAAAATGATATATAAATATTCATAAATCATTAATCATGTTGTCATAAAAGTATTGTTAATATGATTATTTGAATTTTGGACTACATCACATTCACGTAATAAAGTATTCAATATTAAAATTTATATTTATGTTCAGTAATCGATTTGGTCTGGTCAAATTAATACATAACTTAGTTACCTGGGACCAGCTAATTTGTTTCAAAGTTTTTTGACTATTTTAAATATCACCTAAAATTAATTCAATCAACGTGGGCAGTACCTAATTGAATCACCCGATTGATCCAAAGTAATTTCCTTATTTTATTTAAATATAATATTTAATTTTATGAAATAAAAAAAAATTATGATTCATATGTCTACACCAAATGATAGTATATTAAGATTATAAATCATATATCTAAAGATGAATTATTTATTATATTTTATGCATATTAATAAAAAAATAAACATAGTAATTTAAAAAAAATTAAGATTAATTGATTGTGTATGCAATTTAAAGAATATTTTTAGCGTTCAATATATATAGTTATGTAAATTTTGTATCTTACAATATTAATAATAATGTAATTCGTAATAAATATTTATCACGTAATATATTTACATAACTGTATTTTTAAATTGTAATAAATATTTTCAAATTATAATATCACGTAATAAATATTTTTAAATTGTAAATATAATTGTCGGGCCAAACTGGGTTGACTCTGCACGGTTGACAAATCAAGACTTAGTTTAATTGCGATGGCTGTTAAAGACCCACCTGGACCAGGCTCGACTCCAAGTTGACCCAACAGTGCAATTCAGGTTAAAGTAACACTTCTTCTAGATCTTGACTGTAAACGAGTCGAGTAGAGTCGAGCATTGACCTTATCGAGCAGGATTGAATTTTTTTTTAGCTGCTCGAGCTCGAGCTCGATTTATGAGGCTCGAGCTCGAGCTAGAGTTCGGCTCGAAAATTTTAAGTGAAATTACCATTAAGCACTTGTGTTATACAATTTAAATATATATATAAGGAGTATTTTATTAATTTAATATATATATCAAGCCGTTCGACAATACAAAATATGGGCTCGAACTCGACTCGAGTTCGATCATTCAAACTCGAACTCGAGTCGAGCTTTGACTCGAGTGCTCGCGAGCGGCTCGTGAGCCGCTCGACTCGTTTGTAACCCTAAGCCTGTTGGGTTCCTGATCGAGCTGCGTGCAAAATGGTCCAAACGAACAACTTGGCCTAAGTTTGTCTTCAAATCTGATTGGTGGGTTGGGTCAAGTCACAAAAATTTGGGTGAAACTCTTCTCTCCCTAAACACTTTATTTTTTTTCCTAAAAGTTTTAATTAGATCGCATTAAAACGCGAATAATTAAGGTTGTCGTGCATGTTCCTCAACTGTGAGGCTTTTACTATTTCAGGTCCCCTACATAGGTATAGTTATTTATGTTGAATTTGTACATATGGTCCCCCAATCTCATCTCTTTTTGCCCCTCCCATTTTGCACCTTTATAAAAGCTGAAAAATCAAAAGGATTTTTGTTACGAGGAAATAAAGATTGGAAACAAGCAATGTTCATCTCAGCTGGCATTTGCCCCTTTTTGTGTGCTAACGTTGTTATTACCATCAATTTCACTTGGATTCCAAAAAATGGAAAACAAATCTGGCCATTGAATTAGAAGTTAATTGGGGAAAGGGGCATATTATGACAAGGACGGCCCAAACACGAGCAATAGCCAATAAGTGTGTTAAAAAGTGGTGGTGGCCGGGGTCCAGATATGGAATATATCCCTTTTCTAGATTTTGGGACCAGCCTAAATCAAATGGAGATGTAAATTTAAACATTGATGAGTTAGTGAAAATATGTTTAAGATATAATTGTTATTTACGGCTACCCACTTCATATGTACTGTGTACATAAAGGATACTGTTGTAGATAACTAAAATAGACTTACCTTTTTTTTACAACTAGAAAATAATTAGAATGAGTCGATCAGCCACAAAAATTCTATGGAGCCATAGGATGGTTTTCTTATGGAGCCATCCATCACTTAATGTATTGACACCTGTTCAAACTGCATTTATTGTAAGATACGTGTCAATACACTATTTGTGAATAACTGTGGATGGTTTCATAAGCCGAGTCATCCGATGATTCCATAGCAAAACTGCGATCAGCCATCTAGCAGAATCCAGTGGAAGTCTACAGCAACCGGAACATCCCCCCCAAACCCCGTTGACCTAAGCCGCCCACGGCCTAGCACCCACCTCGCGCAGCCCGTGCCAACCAAATCCAACATCACCTGCAAGGGGCTGCGAAAACAAACAGAGGGAAGAGGCCACACCCAACCCCGACCAACTCAACAGAGAAGGCCAGAGTTAGCCGAACTCCCACGCCTCGACCGTCGTTGGACCCTCCACCAACGAGAAGACAAACCGGAGAGTGTGGCGAGACTCTACCGCGAAGAGGGGTCGTCAACGCCAAACGTGGAGAGTCGGTTGGTTCGATCGGTGCCACAATGCCCCCGAAGGCGCGGCTGGAGGAGGCGACAACGGGAGAACTAGGGTTTTG